ATATATATATATATATATATATATATATATATATATATAACTATATATAACCTGAAACCTAGAGCTAAGATTAATATTATTACTAAAATTATCAAACTCACCAGTCTTCCGGGTTGAACCGCGTCGATATCCATTTTGCCGAGCTTTCGGCATCCTGTCTGATGCCTTCCTCAGGGCTTCCGAGGTCTCAGTTCTCCCGAGCCCCCAGACACTACTACACTGTTCACTTATCACTGCGCTGTCACTACTAGTGACATGATAATATCGTTTTTTGTATCCTTTGTGCTATGCGAAATGTGTAAAAGATTAAATCTTTTAGCAGAAGCCGCTATCGCTTTATTATATTAAATGGCCAAATATATGGCCTAGGAGACAAATTCGTTAAACTTGCCGTGCTCGAATCGGTATCACTAAATGTTATCATTTCGGCCTATACCAGCCATCGTCAGACACTTGGGCTGATACAAATTCAAACTCGGAAATTAAAACGAATGTCTCCCAAAATTTCACTACAGCGTAGTTAGCTTACAAAGGCGCCCCCTACTTTGGCGGCCGTGAACGAAACGATATAATATTATCGTTTTCTGTATCCTTTGTGCTATGCGAAATGTGTAAAATATTAAATCTTTTAGCGGAAGCCGCTATCGCTTTACAGATTAAAGATTTAATCTTTTATACATTTCGCATAGCACAAAAGATACAGAAAACGATGTTATTATATCGTTTCGTTCACGGCCGCCAAAGCAGGGGACGCCTTTGTAAGCTAACTACGCTGTAGTGAAGTTTTGGGAGACATTCGTTTTACTTTCCGAGTTTGAATTTGTCTCCTAGGTCATATATTTGGCCATTTAAAATATATATATATATATATATATATATATATATATACTTACATACATACATACATATATATATATATATATATATATATATATATATATATATATATATAATGGAAAATAAGTCTTTGCTAACAACGTTAGGAAAACGGAGCTTTGAGGTTAATTGGGATTTGCAGCAATGAAATAAGTGTACTCTTTTAAATAAGTTTCAACCTTTCGAAAATGTTTATTTTCATCATCAGGAAAATCTGAAATAAAGTGCTACTGTTGGTAAAGCGTCCTGGAAATCTATAGAGAGTGTAAAGGTTGTAAAAACTTACGTTATTGAGATTTGTCTTTCGTGGATGTTCCACTTACAAGTGACAATTTATTCATTCATTGATTAAGTCAATTATTAAAAAGTATAAAAATTGCATGGTGTAAAAGACCAAACTTGACAAATTATTCTACTCTAACACATAAGAAAAAGATTACAAACAGTTTAAAAAGCCACGTGTGCCGGCCAACTGTCGAATGTTAGGTTAAGAGTAGCCGTCATTCCTGGACATGGCATAAGAAGAAGTACTGTCGAAGTAGAAGTACTTTGCCGTTTGAGTTCATTGTTACTTGTATTTATTATAAAACTCATTTTACTAAATTGATTTATGGTGTTCACTTTTAAAATCACACAACACAACTATCCTGCAATTTTGCAGGAAATTGCGCTTGACAATGGGGTTTATCGGAATCACCTATATTTTTCTCGCTTATTTATATCTTGGACTATTGTGGTTTTAATGGAAATTTCTTACGCAAGGAACGCAGGTAATTAGTTCTTCAATCCATAGATCTCATAAGTCCATTTCCGAAAGAAACTGACATGGGGTTTTTGCAAATAACGCCTCAAATGACTGCAGGAAAGTTTTCCACGCTCCAGGTAGATCATCATTTAATCTTCCCTTGTCCACTACTAGACATAGATCTTCATAACTTTCTATCTGTTTCGATTTTGTGTCTCTTATATTTAGTTTTTCTGGTAATGTTATAGATCGTCAGTCCATTGTGTTGGTGGACGACCTCAACGAAGTTGATGTAATATAATTTCTACAGTAAAATAACTCTTTAAACATAGTAAATAAAGAAATCAGTATAGTCAGTCGGTTAAAATATTTCTTGTGCAAAATTATGGTATAAAATATAAGTTCCAAAAAAAACTATTTGAGCAATTACTTTAATATAATAAACCTGTTACTTCCAGTGACGGTAAAACTTGTACTAAACTTTGAAATTTTCTATCGTTATATTCACAGGCGTACGAATAACCTAATACAAGATCTATATTTACTCCAATATAGCCAATTTATTTGGGAAGAAACATCCCGATCACATACCATCTCCCTAGTGGTAACTGCTTCGTAAGGATTGTTATGACCAACGAGAATAATGGCCTTTTTACTAATGGGCTCGTAGAGTAGCTTCCAAAATATTCCTGGAACTCGTAAACTTGGAGAATTTCTGCCACTCATATGTAAATATAAAGGTTTTGATTCTCTGTTCTGTTCGTGTGGCAAAACTGAATGTCCATACGTACCAGTCCACACTTGTAAATCTACTCTTCGGTTATGTGCGTAATTTCTGGAGTCTATTTCAGCTTGATTCCAATTACCTGCATTAAATTTGCTCCACTGGGGAGCTATATTAATAAACCTAAAACAAGAAAAAATGTATAAACTAATACACGACAAACCCATGTTAAATTTTCAATGGGTCATTGGTCCCAGCATGAATGACATACAAAATAATACTACAATATACAGAGTGTAACAAAAAGGTAGGTCATAAATTAAATCACGTATTCTGGGACCAAAAATATTTCGACTAAACCTAACTTCTTCGTTTTTTTGGAGTACTGTGCACAAGTTTTAGGCGTGAATAGCTTCCATGACGATTTGCCGATATCGTTCTAGATCTTGCGCGGCATGTAATAATTCGTCTGCTGATAAGGCAGTCAATTGACGAAGGTTTCAGAGCTATGAGTATTTCTTTCTATAAAAGTCTCAGATCTTTATCATATATTCCAATCATTTCTAGATATTCAAACAGCCTACCATGTTGAACCCTATCAAACGTCTTCTCAAAATCTATAAAACAGACGTAAATTGGTTTTTGTACTTCATATGATCGTTGAAGTAGTGTTAGCATTAAGAACAAAGCTTCCCTTGTTCCCAATCCTTCTCTGAAACCGAATTGTTTATTTCCCATTGTGTCTTCACATTTCTGCTTGATTCTATTAAGAATTATTCTAAGAAGTAGCTTGAGAGAGTGACTCATGAGACTAATTAGTCTAAAGTCTTTACATGATGATGTATTAGGTTTTTTGGAAGTGGGATAAATGAAGATCCCAACCATATTTGTGACAGTGTTCCAATTTCGGTTATAAATATTGTTAGTTCTGAGACATTGTCGTCGTCTAGAAGTTTGGGCCAGTCTGATGGTATTTGGTCAGGGCCTGAAGATTTCTCATTGTTGTGCTTTGTTTGATGGCTTTCTGAACTTCTGCTTTTAAAATACTAAGGACCAGAATTCGTATACTTTGTGGCGTTAAGTGGTGGCCTTGTCTCCAGGAAGACCTCTTTTATGTAGTTGGTCCATTCTTCCTTTTTCTCTTTTAAATCGAGAATAATTTTACCTTTAGAGTTTCTCATAAAGTGAGGAGTTATTTTTCTCTGAGTGTAGTTCTTTGATCTCAAGACATCTCTGTTCCATCCAGTCCTCTTTTGCTCGCTTAACCTCGTATCTTATTTGTCGATGTATTTCTCTATATCAAGTCTCATCTTTATTTTTACAATTTCTTCTTTGCTGAATAAAGTCTAGTATGTTATCGGTCATCCAATCCTTTTCCTTTACTGGCTCTTTTTCTGATTTCAAAACTTCGTCTGCTATGGTTACCATGGCGGAATTCATTATATCTGTATTTTGTCCGATATTTTCTTGTTCAAATTTTTCTAGTTGTTTTTTAAATTCATGATTTATCTTATTTCCGAACTTATCTGCTATTACGGCATTTCTTAGGAGTCGATTATTATGTTTTTTCTGGGCTGTCGGGGTTTTTATTATTTTTAATTTTAGTTTGAATCCAGCACAGAGCAGATTATGATTAGTTGCGGCATCTGCACTTGGAAATGTTTTTTCAGATGTAATACTGTTTTTAAATCTTCTGTTAATTATAATGTAGTCGATTTGATTTCTGACTACTTTTCCTTCTTGATCAGCTGGAGATTTCCAGATATATAGTCGTCTTTTAGGTTTTTGAAACTGTAATTTTGAAAATTATTTGTTATAATGCAATTCTCTTCTTGGCAGAACTGTATTAGTCTCTGCCTTCTTCCGTTCCTTCCTTTCTCCAAGTCCATACTTTTCGGTTATATTTTGTGTTATTTCGGCACCAACTTTTGCCTTGAAGTCTTCCATAATAATCTTAGTTTCATGTTTTTTTATGCTCCGGAGAATTTGTTTAATTTGGTTGTATAATTGCTCAATTTCTTATGGTTTGTTAGCTATTGGTGCATAGACCTCTATTATATTGATATTCATTAATTTATTTTGCAGCTGTATCATCATGATGCGATCATTGAAAGGAACGAAATTTGGAATACAGTAATGAATTTCTTCTATGACAATAATTACGACTCCGTATCGTCTGGGTCCTTTTGTCTTTCCCGAGGGGCAGATAATGTATCTATTGCTCTCGAATATATTTGACCCTAGCGATTTCGTCTTGCAGATACCTAGGATAGGAATGTCTAGTCTGGCCATTTGTAGCTGAACATTGTGTAACTTCGCGCCTTCAAACATAGTTGTGACGTTTTACGTAGCTATCCTGTGGACTTCCACGACACGGGGTTTTCGTGGGTTTACGATCTGAGAGGCCCGTGGTCTGGTTGTGATCTTCCTCCCCTGCCGGATCTTGGATTCCGAAGTCCATGATCATTAAAAGTATGCATACTTTCTTCCTCTGTCATGGGAAGCTGTACGAGAGATATCCTCAAGGATTATTAATGTAGTGGTTTCTGCTGGCCACTGGAGTTCAAAATGATTGATTTTATAAGGTTCTGTAACTGTTTTCTAAAATTTAGAATCTTCCATGTCGGCTTAGTGTGGACTTAATTGTCCAAAATTTCAACTTTCAGATAGGGCTTGAATTAGAAGTTTGTCAGATTGAGGAAATGGACTCATAGCAGGAAGCGAATTGGGATATTTAACGGTTTTCTTGGTCTTTCTAGATAAGACGTAAATTCAAAAATAAAAATGCAGAAAAATACCAGCAGATCCACAAAACCATAAGAACGAAAATTTGAGAAGCCAAAGAAAAACGGTTTTCCAACGAATGCAGGGAAATAGAACAATACGAACGAAAATACGACAGTTACAATATGCACAAAAAAATAAAATCGATGACAAACAAGAGGAAATTCAATAAGTCACCCAACAGCATAAAATATAGCGATGGAAATCTTATCTCGGAGCCATCAACGATCTTAAAAACATGGAAATCATACATAGAAAAATTATTTGCATCTGACAGGACTGATGATCACCTATATGGAGAAGGAGAAACGGGACCTTCAATGCTTATATCGGAGATAGAAGATGCCATTACAGCACTAAAAAACAATAAGTCAGCAGGTCCGGACAATGTACCCTGCGAAATATTAAAGATCCTATGTAAATCAGATAAACAATTCCTTGATAATCTAGTTGTACTTTTTAACAACATATATAATAGCGGTAAAATCCCGGAGAACTGGCAGCAGTCAACATTTATTACAATCCCGAAGAAACCAAATGCCCAAATTTGTGATGACTACCGGCTTATAAGCTTGATCAATCATGTCACTAAAGCGTTCACTAAGATCATTCATAGAAGAATATATGATAAATTTGAGTCAAATATTGATAGATCTCAGTTTGGTTTTCGGAAAATACTTGGAACTAGAGAAGCAGTTTTTGCTCTATAAGGTGCTTATACAGCGGTGTAGAGACGTTGATAAGGACGTGTATTTGTGCTTTATAGATTTTAGAAAAGTATTTGACAATGTCAATTATGAACAATTGATGGATATTCTGCGAAAGACAGGTATTGACGACAAGGACATTCGAATTGTGGCAAACCTATACTGGGGTCAAACAGCAAGAGCAAAAATTGGCAACGAACTCACTGAAAGCGTGCAGATCAAAAGAGGTGTCCGTCAGGGGTGTATATTATCTCCACTTCTATTCAATATGTATTCCGAGGAAATATTTAACAAATGTATGGAAAATACAAATGAGGGCATAAAAATAAACGGCGAGTTAACGAACAATATAAGATATGCCGACGACACGATGATCCTTGCCAGTACCATAGACGAATTACAACAAGTAATGGAAAGACTTTATTCAGTTAGTGAGGAATACGGCCTGAGCCTCAACTTCAAGAAGACAAAGTGGATGCTGATAAGCAAAAAGCAACAACCTGCTCCACAATTACGGATAAGTAACATACTAATTGACCATGTAGAATCTTATGTGTACCTTGGCAATTACGTAAATGCAAAATGGGAACAGACCATAGAAATTAAGGCGAGAATAGAACGAGCTAGAGCAGCATTTAGCAATATGAAAGAGCTCCTCATAAGCAAGGATTTGTCTCTTCCCCTAAAACTACGTATAGTTAAATGCTATATTTTTCCGATCTTGCTGTATGACGTGGAGGCCTGGACGCTGACGGAGACGCTAACGAAAAAACTAGAAGCATTTGAAATGTGGGTGTACCGACGCATTCTTCGTATATCCTGGACCGAACATGTCACCAACATAGAGGTACTCCAAAGAATCGGAAAGGAGAAAGAAATCGTGAATACAATTAAACAAAGAAAGTTTGAATATCTAGGCCACATATTGAGACACGATAAGTACCGTCTGCTACAATTGATTGTCCAGGGAAAAATAGACAGTAAGCGAGGGCCAGGCAGGAGAAGACACTCGTGGCTCCGAAATCTGCGGAAGTAGTTCGGGCTCACATCGGTCGAACTATTCAGAAGCGCCGCAAACAAGATCAAAATTGCCATGTTATTAGCCAACGTTCGCAACGGACAGGGCACTTAAAAAAGAAGAAGAAGATTTGTCCTGTTCACCGATTGCACAACCAAAATAATACTAATATGTTTTTTTATCGAAGAAATATTCTTTCTCTGGAATTTCAAAAGTTCTCCACAAATATGACAAAAATATAATTTATAAAAACTGTTAATTAACAAAAGATAGTAAATCAAACCGCAGGCAAAAAGCATTACATGGAAGAAGCCACCGTGTTACCAATAAGAAAATATGTATTTTTAAGATATAATAAATTACAAAAAAACTTAGGTCAAAGGACACCTTTTGAGAATATATTCAGCTTAAGGATAGAAAAATACTCAATAAATTAAGAAAATTTTAGTTGAACAATATTATTTATTCTTACCTGTAAGTAGCCTTTTGTAAAGGTTCATACACAAAATCAGCTTTAGCAGCCAAGTGACCTTTATTAATGAAAATATCGCCATTTATATATTTGCCAGAATCATAATTTAATCCTACGATATCGTTTACCGTGTATTTTACATCTCTAAAAAGTCGATATAAGTCTGAATTTAGTTCGTAAAAGTTTTCGTCTTGTATAAAATAGGGATTTTGAAAACCTTTAGCCCTACTATTTGTGGCAGCAGAAATGTTGTAGTGGGAGTAAACTGGAATCTTATCAACAATATCAAAACAGACATCAATATGGTTAAGATATCGACCAAAAGAATCGATTCGAAATCCAATTTTTAGAATTATTAAATTGTTAAGTAACTTGTTATGGCAGTTAATATTAGGATCTCCGTGATTGAGTTCATAGTACCTGACTTTTCTGACAGTAGGTACAGGTTCGCTGATACATTTAAGTGAGGAATAATCAAGAACCTGATCCTCGGGGAGCAATGGAATTTTAAATGCACCATTTTCTTCACAGGTTGCTGTTATCACGTTGCTGCCTACATTTCCACCGACAGCGATTCTACTTTCTGGGCACGAAAATTCTACCTGGGAATTTGGAGCCAATCTAATACTGTATTCGCCCGGTAGAGGATAAATCAGAGTATTGCTAGTAGGATTTATGGTAAGCGGCGCCTTTGTTTGCATAGGATATATATTGCAACCTAAAAATTATTTAAAAGAAATTTGTAAGTATGTAATTGTAAAATTAAAACCCATATATTATTCTACCCAAACCCAATATTTGTTTTAAACCATCCAGTGAGCTGTCATCAATACCACGGATATGCTCAAATTCAACCTACTGCAATTAAGGGGGTATGTTCACGCCGCAGTTAAAACGAGTGGTGTTCAAATAAACTAACGTTAACAATTTCTTGAATAGATGGCAGCACGTGCATCATATTTTAATATTTTGATTTTCTCGAAATTTAATTATCTGAACAGCGACAGTGTTGCCAACGAGGCCAAGTTATGGAACTTAAAATATAATATACGATCGGGAGAATCGGTATAGTTCGCTCTCGGTCGGCAGTCTTCTGCAATGTAAGTTGAAATTGCGCTATCGTATTATTTGATTTGAAGTTTCACAAATTCTAATTTTTGGATTGGATAGTTGGATCATTCCATATTATTTTTTAATTTTTGTATCGTGTTGCGTTGAGGTTCATTTACCTTTGAAGTTAAATTGTTGTTTTGTTTTTTTTTGTTTTGTTTTTTTGAAACATTTTAAATGGTGCATATTAGTTTTGTAAAAAACTAAATTTATTTCAAGTACAAAAAATTACTTATAATAAAAATATACACCTGTAAATTTCATAATTTATTAACCCATCAGAGGACGCTAAGGACTGATCAGTTCTTTGTAATTATACATTTATCTTGGCAATAAGACTATTGAATTTATATTCATTTTCAGCTAGTAAACGAAACGCTTCCGTTGCTAAATCAATTTTTTTTTCATTTTAAACTTCACTCTGTAAAAATGTCATTAACCCACTCTAAAGTGTGTTTTTAAAGTTGTAACTTCTGCAGTTTTTCCAATATTTTCCATGGACACGAAATTCAATTTGGAGATCCTCTATGCCAAACCTAGACTGCAATCTCTGAATAATTTTTGAACTCGATTGGAGGTAATTTAAATTTGGGCTTCTTCGGAAGCTTCTTCGAATATACTTTTAAGTACCGTAGGTTAATCGAGGCAAAATTTTGCCTTGGTTTTACCTTTATTTACCTTTATAGTCGTACTTGTTGAATCACAATATCGAGTAATAAAAAAAGGGTCGATGGTCAGAAGTTATATCGGCAGCTGTTATATGGGCAATCAATTGAAAATTTTGGATTATTGATAAGAAGAGAATTATTTGTAAGGTATGCTTTAGGTCAAGCTGATGTGAAAGAGATTTCATGCGCAGAAATTTCTGTGTGGTGTTTTGTCTACAACTTCCTGTTCCTTTCTATGTTAATCAATGTGAATTGAACTACCGATTTGTTTGCTGTCGTTCAGATCGTCAAATTAAGTATCTGTACGGTAATATTTTTCCTTTTATGTACTGTTTTGTGAATTTATTCCAGTTATTAGTTTCGGTTTCATAATTAATTTTTCATAAGTTGATTTTTGTGAGTGTAAGAGAGAATCTTTCTGTGCAATATGAGTGGAAAGCGAAAGAGAGTAATTGCACCTTTGGAAACAAAAGTGAATACAATTAAGAGGTTGGACAAGGGTGAATCAATAAAGAAGGTTTCTTTAGATTTAGATGTCGGAGAAGTAACTGTTGGATATTGGAAGCGTAAGCCGAATGAAATCGAACAGTGGGTAAACCGAAGTGTGAGTGGTGGTAGTGGATTGGTCCAAAAAGCTTTGTTGTTGTTGGACAACGCACGATCCCACCCATATGTGAGGGAATTGATTAGTGGTGACATACAAGCTGTGTTCCTTCCACCCCATGTAACATCTCTCATCCAACCCTAGACCAAAACGTTATATAAGGAATGAAGAGGAATTATCGGCGGAAGCTTCTTCAGGTACTATCTATCTATCTATCTAATCAGCCTTAGACGCCCACTCTTGGGCATAGGCCTCCCCTGTTAATCTCCATTGGTCTCTATTTTGGGCGATCTACATCCAGTCCTTTCCTGCCTTTCTCCTAAGATCGTCAGTCCATCTCATCTGTGGTCTTCCTCTTTTTCTTTTCTTTTCCCATGGTCTCCAGTGTAGAATTCGCTTATTCCATCTTTCATCTTTTTGCCGGAGAGTGTGACCGGCGAAGTTCCATTTAAGTTTTGCAACCTGTCTTGATACATCGTTCACCTTTGTTTTTTCTCTGATCCATGAGTTTCTTTTCCTGTCTTTAAGACCGATACCCAGCATCTGTCTTTCCATTGCTCTTTGTGTTTTGGATATCCTGTCGATGTTCTCCTTTGTGAAAGTCCATGTTTGTGAGCCATATGTGATAACTGGTAAAATGCACTGGTTGAATACTTTCGTTCGCATATATTTAGGGAACTTTTTATTTTTTAGAATATATAATAGTTTACCAAATGAGGCCCATGCTAGTCTAGTTTTTCTTTTTATTTCTTCTGTTTGATTGTCCCTGTTCAGCTTTATTATCTGTTCTAGGTATATGTATTCTGCCACCTGCTCTAATTTATTCTGTTTGACTACTATTTCTAATTGGTCTTCTTGGTTTGTCATAGTCTTGGTTTTACTATAGTTCATCTCTAGACCTATCTCTGTCGCTTTTCTATCTAGTTTCTCAACCATCTTCTGTAACTCTTCCTTCTTATCTATTATCAGGACTATATCGTCTGCATATCTCAAGGTACTCTGCATATCTTCAGCCACTGCTAACTATAAACTGGATGAAGGGCTGACTGTAATTGAGGCATTGAAGAAGATCACGGTTAAAGATGTTTGCTATTGGATTGCATCTGCCTGGGACGACGTAAAAATGTCCACTACTCAGAAGTTGTGGAAAAAATTATTTAAGATAGACAACAAAACACAAGACGTTCAAAATGAAACTGATGACTGTAAAGTTGATTCTATAGCCCACCTAGCCAATCAATTACCAGTAGAACAAACAATCGTAAACCAAGACATCATCGATTGGAGGAATCTAGATAAAGAAGTGGAACTGACAGATGATACAATTGCCAATCTAGGTCTAAACGTCACCCATGAAGAAGAAGAAGAAGATACAGATGGGATAACTCAAAAGATTTCTCATTCCGAAGGATTTAAGTCCCTTGAAGCAGCTCTCGTATACATTGAGCAACAAGAAGAATCAACACCATTAGACGTCCTTCATTTTCAACGTTGGCGCAACATCGCCGCCCCAAAAAGAGGAATGAAGTTGAAACAAAAATCAATCAAAGACTTTTTTAAAACATTTATAAATTAATTTTTTTTTATCTTTTATACTACTTTTATAGCAGTTTTTAGTTATTAAAATAAACACATTAATCATTATTGGTATGGTATCATTAATTTTTTCGACTTTAATGAACCCTTGCTCATAGAATAAGCGCTAACTTGTATAATGAAACTTTGAATAAGCTCGATCAAGTAACCAGCTGAAAACGTCCAAGGAAGCTTTCATATAGTTTCATTCTTATGCACGACAATGTTCATATCTCAAACATTTTACCGTAATTTATATTTCTCAAACAAGAACCCAAATAACACTGCAAAGAAAGATATTAAGAGAAAGATAACGAATGTCAACTCAGAAATATTCCCTAACATAGAATCCTTCGAAATAAATTAAGATATGGCACAACTAAAGAACAATAAGACTCTGGGCCTAGATGGAATACTTGTAGAAATGTTGAAGGAGGGGAGTGAAAGTATTCTCGAAGAATTGAAAGAAATTTTTAACGAATGTCTTCACAGAGGAAAAGTCCCAGATGATTGGAATGAAACTTTGACCATACTTCTCTTCAAAAAAGAAGACAGGTGAGATCTGAAGAACTAGAGGCCAATCTCCCTGCTGTCCCAAATGAACAAACTGTTTATGAGAGTAATAACTATCCCGATAGTGATCAACCGGTAAAGCAGGCAGTGTTCCGAAAGGGTTATAGTACAGCAGATCATCTTCTTACAGTCAGAACGCTACTAAAGAAAGTCAATGAATATCACTTGAACTTATACATTGGCTTCATTGATTATAAAAAGGCATTCGACTTCTTTTCAAATATTGAAAGAAGCTGAAAAGAAATACTGTCCTCGTCCTGAAAACAATAACAAAAAATTAAGCCACAACACAAAACATGTTCTAGAGGAAAGAAGAAAATTAGGGAAAATCAGGATCATAACCAAAATGATCTAAAAATTTTGAATAAGAAAATTAAAAAAGAAGTTAGAAAAGATCTGAGACGATACAATACGGTGGAAATAACTAGAGTAATAGAAGAAAACAAAAGCTTGAAAGTACTCAGACAGACCATGTCCATTGGAAGAAAAAACGTCACACAATTAAGAAATGAACAGGGTCATATCATTGAGGATAGAGTTCAAATTATGAACACAATAGAGAGTTTTTATAGACAACTATACAAAGAACAGCAATGTAACCGGAGTGGATCATTACCAAAGATAATCAATCAGGATCTGAAATTTTACCGGACGTAACACCCAATGAAGTTCGAAGGTCAGTGCAAGAAATGAAAAACAATAAGTTCCCGGAGGCGATGAAATAGTGGCAGATGCCTTTAAAGTGGCTGGAAAAAGAATATGGCAGGTCCTTGCCAAGCTATTCACTAGATGTTTACAGGAAGCAATAACACCAACCCAGTGGCATAACGCAGAAAGTATCATACTTCATAAAAAAGGGATGCTACCGACCTCAGCAATTTCAGGCCCATAAGTCACATATTTATAAACTATTTACAAAAATAATTACTAAACGACTAGAAAATAAATTGGAATTTTATCAGCCCATAGAACAGGCGGGGTTTAGAGAAGGCTATAGAACAAACGATCACCTACTGGTATTAAAAAATCTTATAGAAAAATGCACTGAATATAATAAACCACTAGCTTTAATATTTGTCGACTATGAAAAGGCATTCGACACCGTAAATCAACAAAAAATGTTGGAAGCCTTGACAGAATGCCGACTTGACTATCGGTATATAAATATAATTAAACACATATACCAAAACGCAACAGCCAGTATTAGAGTGGATGATCGTCAAACCCAGAAATTTAAGATACAACGTGAAGTACGCCAGGGGGACACCATATCGCCGAAACTGTTCACTACGCTTTTGGAATATATATGTAAAAGGGCAAAACAGCCATCTAAGGTTTGCAGATGATATTGTACTAATAGCTGACTGATTTGCGGACAGTGCTAAGGGTTTATACTGACTTTTGAATGTCATAACCAGAAAGGGAGATAGCTTGGGACTAAATATAAACACAAATAAAACAAAAGTAATGGCTTATTCGTCTTCCGGGTTTGGACCATGTCATTTGTGAGTGACCCAAAAGTGGGTTCATCTCGACGTTTCGCTACAATTGTATGTAGCTTCTTCAGGAGAACAAATAAAAAAAAATCAAAAGACAGGAAGATGGGTAGTTAGCAACGGTAACTCAGTTACTCAACGCAACCAGAGGCGAATACTAACTACCATGATGGGCATTTGGTCACAGTAACTCAACTACTTAACGCAGCCAGAGGTGAAAACCAAATGCCAGGACAGGGATTCACGTCCAACAGCTCAGAACACTAATGCGTCGAGAGGCGGGAAGTGAATCCGACGATTACTCTGCTACTGCTCTATTTATAGTCGCGGTGACCTGTGGTGTCGGGACGTATCGGCACACTCCGTGGCGCGAACGTCAAGAAGCGCGTGCTGGTCAATCATGTGGCTGCATCGTGGTAGCGGGACCGGACGGCGGCTCTAGACTGAGATTCCAGATGGGAGACAGGTAGTATCCTTCCTCTCGATTGATATTATGTGGATTTTTTCGGATCTCTAGAGATTCGCGGATTTTCCTGGAATAAAAGAAGGGGCTCTTAGAAATAATATGGGTTTTTTCGAACAATATGGAATGACCGGTTTCTTTGCAGTGTTCTGCAACTGCAGAATGGGAGAAAAGACCTGATCGAATGCATCTTTGATGCTCTTGAATCTGAGTTTTGACGGAACGACCAGTTTCGCCAATATACACATGTCCACATAAACAAGGAATAGAATAGACACCACAGGAAGATAGGGGCGGTAATGGGTCCTTAGGAGAGGGTAGATATTGTGAGATTTTCTTGGGTGGTCGCTTTCTTTTTCTTTGTTCTCCTGAAGAAGCTACATACAATTGTAGCAAAATGTCGAGATGAACCCACTTTTGGGTCACTCACAAATGACACGGTCCAAACCCGGAAGACGAATAAACTATAATTCTGACTCTGGCCGTGGAAGCCTACGATTTCATTCAAAAGTAATGGCTGTTACACGTGCACCAAATGTGGAAACTAATATTCGTATCTATAAAAAACATATAGAACCAGTACAAAGATTCCAGTATCTTGGTTGCTGGATAACAAACGATCTTGACCACAAGGTCGAAATAGGTACTCGTATAGAATATGCTATATTTGCCCCATTTCAACGAATAAAAATAAACTCTACGTTATCGTTGGATATCCGATACCACTTTGTAAAAACGTTTATTTATTCCATATTGCTATACGGAGTGGAAACATGGACTCTCGGAATTACAAGTATGAGGCGTATAGAAGCCTTTGAGATGTGGTTTTTCGAAGGATGCTGAAGATCTCTTGGACAGAGCACGTGACCAACAACGAGGTGCTAAGAAGAATGGGCACTGAGAGAGAACTCCTAAATATTGTAAAAACAGAAAAACGAGTTATCTAGGACATATTTACAGAGGAGAAAGATACAACTTCCTACGACTTATAATGGAAGGGAAAGTGGAAGGAAGAAGTGGTCCAGGAAGAAGAAAATGCTCCTGGTTAAAGAATGTAAGAGACTGGACAGGCATGGACACACTTCGATACTAATGAACAGCTCAAGATAGAGAGCAATTTGCTGTAGTTATAACTAACCTTTAGTAATGGTAAAGGCACCTTAAGAAAAAGATATTTTAATCCCAAAAATTAGTTTATACTATTTTAAAAGAATTTTAGTTTAATTTCAGTATGTAATTTTTTCTAATAAATACTGAGTCATTGACACAAGCAAATTTTATTAAGTAGCTACTACATCATTTAAGCTGTGACTGGCTGTGTATATATAGGGGAGAAGGTGGGAATGGCGCTCAGTGGGGAATGACGCTCACCACAGTTTACCTAGCCCAGTCGAGTTTACTACGTCCCGTTTGATGTCATTGCCTCCTCGGAGCCCTCCCGAACTAATCGGAAGCATAACTGTGTCGATATTTAGCATCGGTCGGCGGTTCTGACAGAAAACGTGAAATTTTGTGATTTTACTGTAATATTTTTGTCGCAAATATCTGAAGGTAAGTTGTAATAACGTTATTTTGTAGTATTATATCATATACTTATTCGATGAGATGTGTCTTGGATGTATTTTAGCATGAACACTATTTACTTATTGTAACCTAGAAAAATTGTGTCACCATATTTGTTGAAGCTTTCAGTTTGGGGCAATTCCGCTCAAGCTGATCGTGATTACCCCGTTAGAGAGCGGCATTGCCCCAACTGGTATTTGGCTGTTAATCTTAAAAATTATGATTAATTATACATAATTATTTGGTTTCAGATGGTTCGTAATAGAAAAAGGACAACCACTAAAGCACAATGGTCACCAGAAGTAATGATAGCTGCCATAGAAGCTGTGAGGTCCGGAAGAAAAATTAGGGAAGTGACACGTACTTTCCAAGTGCCATACAGTTCCCTTCGAGATAGACTTAAAGATAATTATTATGACCCTCGACTCGGAAGAAGGTCCACATTTTCTACAGAACAAGAAAGGTTAATTCAGAGTCATGTTTTAAAATTATCAAATCAATTTTACGGACTCACAGCTCTTGAATTCAGAAGGATTGCTTTTCAATTTGCGAAAGCAAATAACATAAAAAATATGTTTAATGAAGCAACTCAGTTAGCAGGGAAAGATTGGCTACATAGATTTTTAAAAAGAAATCCACAAATTAGCCTTAGAAAGCCAGAGGCAACTAGTCTTAACCGAGTTAAAGGGTTTTCTAAGGAAAACGTAGCAACATTTTTTCGTAACTTGGAAAATGTCATGGAACGCTATAAATTTGATCCTTCATCGATTTACAATATGGATGAGACAGGGATTAGTACGGTGCATAAGCCCATACAAATACTAGCACCCAGAGGACAAAAACAGGTAGGGATAGTGACAAGTGGAGAACGCGGCCAAACCACCACCGTTTGCTGTGCGTTTAGTGCTTCTGGAGGTTTTGTTCCTCCCATGTTTATATTCGCAAGGAAAAGAATGACTCCTCAGCTACAAAAAAATGGACCCCCTGGATCAGTATGCAAATGCTCAAAATCTGGTTGGATCACGGAGGAATTGTTTTGTGAGTGGTTAAAACATTTTACAAAACATTCAAATGCTACAAACGACAATCCGTTCTTTTGATTACCGACAATCACAGCAGCCATATTTCTCTCGATTGTTACAACTTCTGCCGTGAAAATGGAATAGTTCTACTCTCTATCCCTCCACATACCTCGCATCGACTACAGCCTTTGGATATTTGTTTTTACGGTCCTCTAAAAAAAGCTTACAATCGTGAATGCGATTTATTTATGAAATCAAAACCTTTAGAAAAAATAACAAATTATGAGATTGCTGAATTATTCAACAAGGCCTATGGAAAAGTTGCCTCGATTGAAAAGACTATTAAAGGGTTTAGTTCTGCCGGTATATATCCTTTAAACCCCTTCATATTCAATGACGATTTTCCAGATTTTAATGATCAAGAAAATGACCATACTGTGGATAACACGACAAATACTGTCGCAGATGAACAGCAGCCTTCTACCAGTAGAACAATTTCCCATTCTGTAAATAGAATAACCAATGATTCATCCAATGATGCAAAATCCTCTAACAAAAATAGCGGAAATGCTGCTACCGATAAACTTTAAGCCCTTGAAACATCATTACATAATATCACACCTCTTCCTACAATACACAATAGAGCAAATAAAAGGCAAGTTGATAGAAAGAAACAGACATCTACAATACTAACATCAACACCAATGAAAGATTTTTTGGAAGAAAACATAAGAAGAAGAATGAAAAAATTGAAAAATCGAAAACCACTAAAATCAAAGAGGAAAAAGTACGCAAAGTGACAAAGAAGGTCAAATTTGATGACAGTTCTAGTGAAGATTCAGATGTCAGCATGACTGGAATTACTGATGACAATGAACCTGACGAGATAGGAGATATGCAAGATACGGAAAATAATATCTGCTTCCTTTGTGGCGAATTCGGTCGAGATCGAGAGTTGTGATTTCGTTGCGTAATTTGCGGAGGCTGAGCGCACGCAGAATGTAGCGGAGTTAATAAGGCTGAGGGTTATGTGTGCGACACATCGAGCAAAAAGACAAAAGAGGGAATGTAAAGGTAGTGGGGGGCAAAAATATTGTTAGACAGGAAGTGCGATCTTTAGAGGCCACATTAAACAAGGAAAGAGAGTCTCTCTCCTTGTTTGACATCAAATTTAGTTGGGTTATGTTATTGTTTGTCCCAAATGTCACACGAAATCTTATTTATATTGAAGTTTTTTAACAATTGTGTCGCATTTTAGACTATTGTCGTTAATAATTAATTAAAACTTTCTTGTCTAAGACACATTCTAAAAAATATTATATAGCTACTGTTGATAAGTGTCGGAAAATTTAAATTTGGCGCATTCGCATTTCCGGATATGTCCGCCATCAGAGGCCACTTTTTTGGTCTCCTTTGCATAAGGATTAGATTCCCTCTTTTGTCTTATTGCTCGATGGTGCGACAACTCTCAGTGAAAGGATTTTTATTTTTCATTCTTAGTTTTAACTGCTATTTTATCTTTTTGACGCAATTTGTGAATTTTGTTTGGAGTTTAATGTTTATTTTATTAATTTGTTCAATAAATATTTTAATATTAGTTGCTGTTTAGTGTTAATCTATATTATAACTATCTGTAAATTAATGATCGCCATTACCCCATAGGTGTGGGTAATTGCGCTCAAGGCACTAATTATATTTTGTTGTTCTAACCAACAAACATAAATAATTTTAGTGCAGTTTTCTTAATCAAATGCTAGAAGAATAAGTATTCTTTACTCAAAATAATTTTCAAGGCTTTTTGAATGAAGTAAGTAAATAATCCCCCCTGCTCCCTTATATAAATTATGTATGATTTTTAGACGTTTATTTAGACTTAGGAGCAGTGATTGTACTTACCACTTAAATCTGCTCTATTTATTATTTCAGAAAAATACAAAACTAATAACAAGGTTTTCACCTTCTCCATCATTGGAAAAAAATGTTGCTATACATGGTTCAAGTTAATCATTACAATGAATTTGGAATATGGTTTTTAAAATACACTTATAATTTTGTTAAATTTTATAAATTTATCAGGACACTTAACGTTTTTAAAACGTCAGCGTGACATTTAGAAATTGTGTGAGTTCTCGTAAGATGGCGACATCTATTACGTAAAAAAGAAATGTATTGAGATCTTCTTTTTCGACATTATCGTATGACACCTAGAATAGCGATCAAGTTTCGTAACTGTTGATTGTAGTTGGTAATTATCTTCTTGATTTTTTTAAATTATTACTATCTTAGGTTTTCATATTTGTTCAAATCTGTTTGCATCTGCAAATAGCTTTGAACATGGTTTTCCTCATTGATATATGGAAATTACCAAGAGTTTATTGTGTTTTAAAGCAATTAAATTTTATAATACAATAAATATACATCCAAAGCCTAAACCAAGCTAAAACGTCCCTTCATAATTTTTATATTTCAGTGAAGTAATCACGAAAAATTACTAAAGGAACAGAAATTAAAAAACTATTAATATATCATTGAAACTCTCTTGATTTAGTTTTTAACTAAATATTTGGGCGATTCTATCGCACTGTTCCCAATAAAAAGGTTACCATTTGTATACAAATTTACTACAAATTTGTCAATTTAGAAATAATTTACCGATTATAATAATAGTACGCTCTTATCAAAAGATATCCAAATTTTACTGTCGAGTTGAAACAAATTTGATTTAACCCTCCGTCGGTCGCATATGTATCAAAATGATACAAGCATGACAAATTTCCTTGCTATAATTGAACCCTAAAGTAAGGAGAACCCACCTTCATAGTACCTTCCTAGACCTGTTTAGTCTAAGGCTCAGTCATATTCGTAACGTCCTAGTGATTAAGTGTGTTTACATACAAGCGTATTGTATCATATTGATACATGGTGACATAACGTGTAACTGTTGTTTTACTTTTATATAATTTTAATTTACTTATGTACAACCTAAATAATCCGAATAATGTAAAATATCTTCGAAAATTTATGTTACAAGAGGACGAGAATGAAGATGCCCCTAACCAAGTGGAAGATTTCGAGGATGAACTGGACACAGATGCGGAAGATCAGCCAACAGTGAAAGATGAAAGATTCTTCGACTTCTGAGGAGGTAAAAATGGCAGCCCAAAATAGATCATTTTTAAGTAGAAATTTTAGATCTAATAGAAATTAGATATTTCACTGTCTGCCAATTTATATTCCCGAATTAAGCCACAACCACCGATATTACGATACCAAGCTTGCATAAGATGAAAACGGCACCCTTTAATGTGCACATTTGGAAATTCAAAACGCGCAGCATTGTGGATAGCAATTTCAAAGTCGGAGAAAACGATTTTGGATTGAATTTTAGACCAATTACTTCACATTTGTATTTCAAAACATTCAATAGTTTTTATTAGGATTTGTTCCGATTTGTCGGGAAGTAAACAATAACACAATGGTATATAATGTCCATTGATAAATACATGTATGGTAAAAAAATTGCGTGAAATATTGAGCACAGTAACTAAATATACCGTCCATATAAATCGTTTCACTACCGCACATATCACGACTTACATATCACGAAGGACCAGGTTGACCAAAACCATTTGCAAGAATTGTAAACGATATATTTGTGGCATGCATACAACCCCAGCGTGCACATTATGTAACTCAAGGTTACAAGAACAAGAAGACTCAAGTGACACATAAGTGACAGATCGCTAGCGCAATGAACTGAAATAAAGATTTTTTTGTTTTGAAATGTTTATAAGAAAATAAAATAATTTATTTTTGCGTCATAAAGAGTAAGTTACAACCAACGGAAGGTTAAAATTGATTTGACGCGCATACCTGACATTAAAAATCACCGGTCGCATCAAACGTTGTTGCTGAGAGAATGGTTTATTCTATAGAAAAAGTTTTAATAAATATTTTTGTTCTTAATCATCTTAGCTACATTTTTTATTTAAAATATTTTTTTCTACGACGTACAGATTCTTCGTAAATCGATTTTTTTTCGTGTTTTGCCCCATAGAGAGAGGAGTTTAGGTTAGGCCTTGGGGTAAAAGTGGTAGACTTTTCTGCATCTTTTTTGGCGTCCTAAAATAAACATTCTCAGCAAAATTCAGGTTGTTAATATGTTTTTTAGAGATCAAATCTCTGAAAACTGAATTATATTACTCCCTTGTGAAGAAAAATTTAAGGTTATGGTCAAGTTCGACTTTGTTAGATAAATTCCACTGCATCACTAACTGTCTTAGTATTCGTGTGCTGATAAAGAATACCTACTAATAGGCTAAATAATAAAACATTTTCTTTACAAACTCTATATTTTTTAGAAAAAAATATATTTCTCTTATTCTAGTAATCCCTTTATAGTAAGGTTAGGCAAGACGGTTATTAGTGATCTGAATTTCGTATCTGCACAATTGCAAGCATATGAATATCCAGTTCTGACATTATTCTTATTCCATTTAAGCCAAGTAACTTTTGCTGCCACATCAGTGTTGCAGATTTTTTGATTATCGCTTGTTATAGCTTCATATGGATTATTATGCCCAACCAGAACAATACAATGTTGAGTTATTGGTTCATATATTAGTCTCCAAAATACTTCTGGTGCTGGGAGAGCAGGAGAATGGCTTTTATCTTGATGGTTAACGTAAATATACAAATCTACAAGTTGGGACGTTTGGGAGTGGGGTAGGCTAGAAATTCCATACACTCCTGTCCAAACTTGTAAGTTGACGTTTTTGTTATTAGCATAATTTCTTACATCAGTTTCTACTTGGTTCCAATTACCTCCGTTAAAAGTGTTCCATTGAGGAGCTGCATTGACATACCTAAAACATGAAATATTTCTAAGCCAGTATAGTATACATTGCTTTTGAGATAAAACTATCCACCTTAAATAACTTTTGAACTTCTAATTTTTAGGAAAAGCGCAAAAACACGTCATTACTATTTAAAGGGCAGACATTATGTCATATTTAAGCTTTCTGGGAAGGCACCCTCTCACTTCTCATATCATCCGCCAAGTTATTGTTAACTTACTTCCACCTATAGAGGTATTAGTGTGACGCGCTCTGTGGGCCGGTTGTACGGCAGAATATTAAAGAAGAGGGTTGAAAGACAGATACAAGATATTGAAGAACAAAGCGGCTTTCGTACCGGGAGATCCTGCCTTGATAATATATTTATCCTACGACAAATAATTGAAAAGCGTGTCGAAAGAAGTAGAGAGACCCATTTGGTATTTATAGACCTTTAGAAAGCATATGATAGTGTCCCGTTAAAGAAAATGTTTGAGGTCCTCAAAAGGTCCGGATTGGATTCGACGTATATCCGAGCGATATATAAATTGTACGAAAATGCAGTTAGTTGTGTAAAAATTGGAACCAGAACCTCAAATGAATTTAAAGTCACTAAAGGCCTAAAGCAAGGATGCTGTTTGTCACCGACACTCTTTAAAATATACGTCCAAGAAGCAGTGAGGAATTGGAGAAATAAATGTAGATTTATGGGCATCGAAGTGGGACAAGAAACTCTGTATACATTGTTGTTTGCAGATGATCAGGTGGTGGTTGCAACCGATGAGGAAGATATAAATTATATGAATCGAAAATTATTTGAGGAATATGCCAAAATGGGGGCTTACTGTAAACATAAGCAAAACAGAATATTTAAAAATTGGAGGAAATACCACAGATCTGAGGCTTGAAAACGCAGTCATAAAAGGCTGCAACCAGTATAAATATCTAGGAAGCATCATATCAGCAGATGGCAGAGTTAAGATAGATGTACAAAACCGAATAACCCAAGGGAAAAAATGCATCCGAATACTGAATTCATTTACTGTGGTCTAATGTGTGATGAGTAGTGATGAGAATGGAGGAGGAGCGGTGGCCAAAGAAAGCCTTATTGTATGTTCCGCCAGAAAGAAGGAAAAGGGGAAGACCACCAAATTCCTGGAGAAGAGAAATTACAAAAACAATGCAATCTAGAGGCTTAGAAGAGGGAGATTGTGGAGATAGGAAAAGATGGAGGCTGAAATGCGGGAAGCGGCAATCGCCGTAGGACCCCCGTTAGATGATGATGATGACTTCCACCTTTTTTATTTAATATTTGGATTCTCCTCTTTATAGTGACTTCAAAAATGTATAGCACATCATGCTTAAAGAAATTAGTTTATGATAAAAATAAATACACAATCAAGAAAACTGGATTAAAAAAAACTATTTTTTTAACAATTTTATTAAAGACATTTATAATGAACATTTCACTACCAAAAATGTTTACAATGGCCTATCAAGGAGCGTTTTTCTAGCTGAGTCATTTTGTTCCATCCGCATTACATGCCCTAATCCATCTCAGATGGCCTATCATAATATGTTTTACGATATCAGGTTCCTTTTTTAATCCCCAACAAGAGAAAGTGATTCAAAGGACGAGGAATTTAGCAAAGGTAAAAAAATGTAGGAATTCAGACAAGAAAATGAAAAGCTGAAGCAAAGAAAGAAAAGAAAAAAGAAAATACTTAAAATGAAAAAGGTCAAAAGACAAAATAATTCAATAAGAATATTTAATAATATTCAATAAGAAATAGAATCAGACCAAAATGTAGTAATAAAAGATTTCTTATGCAAAGCCCTAAAAATTGATACGAAAATAAAATGTGTTGTTCTGAAGCTATTCTCTTGTGGCATTTTAAATTAATTACTATTTAACTGGGAATAAGCCACAATTAAACGTTAAAATACGTTTATTGACGTCTCAATTTCCACTTCGGAAATCGTTTTCAAAATACAAACAGTAAATTAAACAAATTTTGTTTTTTGTTACTTAGTGAAAAATTCTTCTAATAATTTAATTTTATCTGACTCATTTATATTGACAATTCAGACATACATTATGTATTTTAAAGTAGACGACTTTAAAATGATATTGCCAATATAATTGAGTTGCGCTCCTGGGACGACTTTACTTATAAGATAGTTCATTCGATTACATGAAATCAACTTTAACTTGAGAATATCCGTCAGAAAAAATCATAGCATGTAATTCGTCTTTAAAAAGACAAACACATGCCATGATAACAGTAAAAATTCTCCTGTTAGTGATTCCATAGTAAATTATGAGGGAAAAACCAAGAAAAATACCTCATAATACTATCCCGACATGGTAAGTATTTGGTCGTGCATTTAGTTTACCTTCAATAAAGACCAAACTCTGATTTTTTATGTTTTTTATTTAAAAAACATAAATGATGTATCCTCTATCTGTTACTGCCTTACTAATACTGGTATTTTACAAAGAAGCGGCTCTAATTATGCTAAATGAGACCAATTGTGTCGCAAATTCCTCGGCAGAATGTAGTAGGATCTGGTTACCCATATTGAAAGAGGAAGTTATTAATAAGAAAGGTTGTATCCATGTATACGTGTGGATGTCTATATGTTGAAAAAAGGCATTCATAATTTTGAGAGACATTGTTTCATAAAAATTTCTAGAAATCGCCTTTACTTTCTGAATCTACATCTTCATTTCGGACACACTCCGACAATTACGATGTTGTGTCCTTTCTTTTTCATTTCCAGTATTAGCAGTTATTTATTTACTTCAGTCCATGATTTATTATTGTTTTTAAGATTTTTAGAATGACAATAGAGACTCGTCTCTTAGCTCTGTTATCTTTACTCCCTCCAGTGTAGATATGTATATATTCTCCTATCTCTTTATTTCCTTTTCCCTTTTCCTTGGTCTCAATGAAAATACATATATCTATTGTTTCCGCTAATTCTTTGAATACTTCTGCTTGTTTGGTTCTAAGTCCTTGTTCATTCCATGTAGCCAATATCATTTTACTTTTCTGTTGCATAAGTGGTCTTTGTTTTGCTCCATCCTGTGTATTCCGAGGCTTTTGGTCGAAATTATTAGCATTTATTTCTTTTGACGAGGGATGAGTTGCTTGCTCATCGCCTTAACCCTCCTCCTTTATCCAGGCTTGTGACCGGCACCGGTATTTACTGAGCTACTCAACCCACCCAGCACTTACCGGAGGCAGAGTTGGTTACATTGATAATTTTTCGACTATTCTAACAACCATTCAAATTTCGTCATTTTGTGTCATGTGGAACAATTTCACCCAATCATGTCAACATTAGACTGATAATTGCATTCAGTGCAATTTTCAATCCATATGACAACACGATCGAGTTTGACAACTTCATCCAAATAAATTTCAAAATGTCACGTTTCTAATGTTAACTTAAATTTTAATAATTGTACTTTCACTAACTGTACTTTTAATAAATAAATGTTTCGTTATGTTGAGTTATGATTTTTTTTTTTTTTCGAAAAATCGGACATTGATGAATGCCTCATAATTTCATGACAGATTTCTCAAGCTTGTTGCTTGGTAACAGCACTTAGCCTTCGGCTTCGTGCTATTACCAAGGAACGAGCTTTCGATTGTCATGAAATTATCTCGTCTGTTATCAATGTCCTAGGGATATTACTACTGATAATAAGGTTATAATTTTAGATAATATAAGGCCTTTAAGGCAGCTTCCTCAGAACTTACTGTTGTTGCGCAGGTTGCGTTTATATAAAGCAGGTCTGCCAAAAACATGAGGACCTTACGTTAATGAAATATCTATAATAAGAGTATACAACTCATTATGTAGGAGTTGAGGTGACTCCATAATAACACTAATTTTGGAAAGCTTCATCACATCACTCGTATTCATGCACGCTTTATGTCATTGATTATAATGATCATTCTACAAAAAATAACTAAAATATTTATTTACCTATAAGTTGCTCTTTGATGTGGCTCATATACAAAATCCGCTTTGGCAGCCAAATGTCCTCTATTTGGAAAAATACTTCTATTTACATACTGTGTGGATGTAGATTCTAATCCAACTAGGGTATTATAAGTGGTCTGGATATTTTGGTACATTGTATTTACAGACCTGCCCATTCTATAGAAAGTATCATCCTGTGAAAAGGAAGGGTTGGCAACATTTCTAGCCCTATAATTTATAGATGCCGACAGAACAAAATAGGTGTATATTGCAAGCTTACTAGTACTATCAAAACAAATAGTCATAGCTTCTGTGAAACGGTTAGTACTTAGTGCAAATCCGATTTGGATTATTTGTAGTTTTTTATTATTATTAACACATTGATTGTTTGGATCATTTGTGTCAGTGTTTCTAGTAATTTCCCTAACAGTGGGATTAATTACATTATGACAAGACAAATAGGACCAATGCACATCATGACCATTTATGGTAAAGACATCACCTGTTTTACACGTAGCTGTTACAAGTGCTCCTAACGATGTACCGTTCTTGGTGATTTGAGTTCCAGGACATGCAAATTCTACTAATGCGTTCCTAGTAAATGAAAGAGTACTATAACCAGGTGTGGGTTCGATTAGAGACGTCGTACCATATTTTACTACTAACGGAGTATTGCTACCAAATGGATTTATTTCGCACCCTAAAAAAAGTTTAGTAATATTATTAAGATACTTTTATTAGACAAGTAAATTTACATAAACTAAGAGTTTTTAGTAGGAATTATGCAAACAGTTGTAACGATATCGCCGCTGAACGCCGTCATTACTTGCCAAAAGCTATAAGTGGGCTTGCAGTCTCATCAACAACTGGCCATTACCACAAAGAAAACTGGGCGAAAGCGCGAAACAACAATGGAAGATCAAGTGAATCATCAGAGCAAAGAGAATGCTACCAGCAGCACATATGAGAGCCTTAGACAAATTTAAGGTAAGATACTATGTGATAGAGCTAGAAGTACATATACGACATAGATAGGACCCTTAAGCTAGCGGGGACGAATGAACGGAATCCAATTTAACCTACGTAATATTTTTTCACTCATTTTTTACTAATTTATTACCACCCTAATAATTTTTCACCACCAAACCAACCTTAGGGTGAGTGATTCTACAGGCTTAAGGTTCAAGCTAGCAGAATTTGGAAAAAAACTTTGTGCTTATGGCATATTTTTTCACCCATTTTTCACTAATTTATTACCACCCTAATAATTTTTCACCACCAAGCCACCCTTAATTGGAGCGATTTGGACCATGGAAAAGATTAAACGACAAATTACTAGAACCACATTGAAAAACTGACATATTTTCTACATAAAAATAAGAAAAAAAGGATTTAATAATTTGGTACTATAGGGTTGCGAAAATGGCTGGCAACAAAATTTTATCTTGTCTATAGCAACACGGAGAAGCTACATAGAAATCTTGTTTTACTAGTTTCTGAGGTTGTTTAACCAGGATGTTATTCTTCTTCGTCCTTTACCTTGCCTTCCAAATCAAGGTTCAAGCTAGCAGAATTTGGAAAAAAACTTTGTGCTTAAGGCATATTTTTTCACCCATTTTTCACTAATTTATTACCACCCTAATAATTTTTCACCACCAAGCCACCCTTAATTGGAGCGATTTGGACCATGGAAAAGATTAAACGACAACTTACTAGAACCACATTGAAAAACTGACATATTTTCTACATAAAAATAAGAAAAGAAGGATTTAATAATTTGGTACTATAGGGTTGCGAAAATGGCTGGCAACAAAATTTTATCTTGTCTATAGCAACACGGAGAAGCTGCATAGAAATCTTGTTTTACTAGTTTCTGAGGTTGTTTAACCAGGATGTTATTCTTCTTCGTCCTTTACCTCGCCTTCCAAATATTTTTCTCTGCAGGATGGTTTAGAGGAGAGCATATCTGGATTAGTTTAGCATAATGTGTTCGAATATCTGAAGTTTCCCAGATTTTATGGTGTTGAGTACATCTCGGCTCTTTTTATGCTTCAGGAGCCATCTTTATTTGTAATTTGATTAGTTTTTGGTATCTTGATTATTTTTTAATACAGACTTGAATATTATTTAATACATATCTCAAATGCTTCCAATTTCTTGCACATATCTTCGTAGACGAGATTCAACACTTATTATGGTTCCATTCTTTATTTATTATGGTTTCGAGGTAGTTGTAGTACTTTACTCTTTCTATTGTTCTGAAGCTATTTTCTTGTGGCATTGTAAAATTAATTACTATTAAACTGGGAATAAGCCACAATTAACGATAAAAATACGTTTATTGACGTTTCAATTTCCCACTTCGGAAATCGTTCTCAAATACAAACAGTAAATTAAACAAATTTTGTTTTTTGTTACATAGTGAAAAATTCTTCTAATAATTTAATTTTATCTGACTCATTTATATTGACAATTCAGACATACATTATGCATTTTAAAGTAGACGACTTTAAAATGATATTGCCAATATTGTTGAGTTGCGCTCCTGGGACGACTTTACTTATAAGATAGTTCATTCGATTACATGAAATCAACTTTAACTCGAGAATATCCGTCAGAAAAAAAATCATAGCATGTAATTCGTCTTTAAAAAGACAAACACATGACATGATGACAGTAAAATTCTCCCGTTAGTGATTCCATAGTAAATTATGAGGGAAAACCAGAAAAAAAACCTCATAATACTATCCCGACATTGTAAGTATTTGTTCGTGAATTTAGTTTACCTTCAACAAACATCAAAATTCTGATTTTATATGTTACGTTATTTAAAAAACATAAATGATGTATCCTCTGTATGTTACTGACTTACTAATACTGGTATTTTTTTATTAATAACTTCCTCTTTCAATATTGGTAACCAGATCCTACTACATTCTGCCGAGGAATTTGCGACACAATTGGCCTCATTTAGCATAATTAGAGCCGCTTCTTTGATTTTTCATTTTTTACCATCCGTTTCTTTTAGGACTACATTTGAATTATTCCATTGAACCCTATGTTCATTATCCCATGCGTGTTTACAGATTTGAGATCTATCAAATTCTTTATTTTTAATATAAGATTGATGTTCACTTATTCTAATATTCAATGGCCTTGATGATTCACCTAAATAAAACTGATCGCATTCACAAGGTATTTTATAAATGCAATTCTTTGTCCTTTCTTGTTCATTGTTAGGTTTGGTTTTGGACAAAATAGATCTCAACGTGTTTGTAGTTTTGAATGTTGTTGAAATGTTGAATTTATTTCCTATCCTTTTAAGTTTTTCTGATAGTCCCTTGATATAAACGATAAAGAAGAGACAATAACATTTACCATGGAAAAGGAATATAATAACACGCTACCTTTCCTGGATATTTTAATCTCTAAGAACGATACTGGATATGAGACTCAGGTGTATAGAAAACCAACACACACCAATAGATATTTAAATTTCAAATCAAATCACAATATTAATGTAAAAAAAGGGAATAATTAAATCCTTATACGATAGAGCCAAAATTACTTGTTCTAATGAAAATTCGTTCTTGGAGGAGAAACATTTGTTAACATCTGTTTTATTAAAAAATGATTATCCTTTATCGTTTATAAATAAGGAATTTTCAACAATCGATCGAATAGAACAGAACAACTTAGAACGAGATCCTGCAGCATACACAAGGAATAATATGAGGAAAATAACAATACCGTACATAAAAGGACTATCAGAAAAACTTAAAAGGATAGGAAATAAATTCAACATTTCAACAACATTCAAAACTAAAAACACGATGAGATCTATTTTGTCCAAAACCAAACCTAACAATGAACAAGAAAGGACAAAGAATTGCATTTATAAAATACCTTGTGAATGCGATCAGTTTTATTTAGGTGAATCATCAAGGCCATTGAATGTTAGAATAAGTGAACATCAATCTTATATTAAAAATAAAGAATTTTGATAGATCTCAAATCTGTAAAACACGCATGGGATAATGAACATAGGTTTCAATGGAATAATTCAAATGTAGTCCTAAAAGAAACGGATGGTAAAAAAATGAAAAATCAAAGAAGCGGCTCTAATTATGCTAAATGAGGCCAATTGTGTCGCAAATTCCTCGGCAGAATGTAGTAGGATCTGGTTACCAATATTGAAAGAGGAAGTTATTAATAAAAAAATACCAGTATTAGTAAGTCAGTAACATATAGAGGATACATCATTTATGTTTTTTAAATAACGTAACATATAAAATCAGAATTTTGATGTTTGTTGAAGGTAAACTAAATTCACGAACAAATACTTACAATGTCGGGATAGTATTATGAGGTTTTTTCCTGGTTTTCCCTCATAATTTACTATGGAATCACTAACGGGAGAATTTTACTGTCATCATGTCATGTGTTTGTCTTTTTAAAGACGAATTACATGCTATGATTTTTTTCTGACGGATATTCTCGAGTTAAAGTTGATTTCATGTAATCGAATGAACTATCTTATAAGTAAAGTCGTCCCAGGAACGCAACTCAACAATATTGGCAATATCATTTTAAAGTCGTCTACTTTAAAATGCATAATGTATGTCTGAATTGTCAATATAAATGAGTCAGATAAAATTAAATTATTAGAAGAATTTTTCACTATGTAACAAAAAACAAAATTTGTTTAATTTACTGTTTGTATTTTGAGAACGATTTCCGAAGTGGAAATTGAAACGTCAATAAACGTATTTTTATCTTTAATTGTGGCTTATTCCCATTTTAATAGTAATTAATTTACTTTTTCTTTTTCTTAATAATTATCATAATATTTTTCTTTACGGTTATATTGAATCTATATTGTTGACTCTGGTACGTGATTCTGCTCACAAGCACTTGTAGAATATCATTATTCAATCTTTGCTTGTCCACTATTGGATATAGATCTCTTTCATAATTTTTAATCTGTTTTAATCTTGTGCTTCTTCCATTCAATTCTTATGACATCGTTTTAGATCGTCAGTCCAATGTGTTGGTGGACGACCTCCGCTTAAGTAGGCATCATCTCTTGGTTTCTATTCCAGTGTCCGCTTTGCCTATCTGTTATGTCATTCGACTTACTGATCAACCTAGTTCCACTTTAGTGTTGCTATTCTTTGTACAGCATCTGCCACTCCTGATCTTTACATAGCTGGCGGTTTGGAATCTTGTCTCACAGTGAAACCCCAGCATAGCACTCTACATCGCCCTTTGAGCCACACGAATCTTTATTATTGTTCTCCTTGTCAAAATTTCCGCTCCGTAAATGAACAGTGACAAAACACACCGATGAAAAGTTTTCTGTAGGTCATATGAAAGTAAAGTGTAAAGCAAAGAGGAAGTAAGGTATATGAGAGATAGACTATCTTCGAAGAAGCACTAGAATATCCAAGCACAGAATCCACGAGGTCATTAGAGATTGATTTAAGAATGTCACAGACACGTTAACTAATAGAATAGAAAGGAAGATTCTTAAGTGGTTTGAATATATTTTATGAATGGAAGAAAGTAGATGGTTCAGTATAGTAGAGGAAGACCAAGATTGTCTCTGCCTTTGGAGTAAAAATATCAGGAAGGCATTAAAGCGCTAGAATTTAAAAAAAAAAAAACAAGCTTAAGACAATCAAAAATGGCGACTAGTTATGGGGTAATGCGATAGTGTCTTTTAGGAATAGATTTTCCACCCAGGGAAAGTGAGAGCCGTATGGTTCAAGTCTAATTAAGGAATAATAAACAATAATGAAAATGTTACTTTAAATTAAAATTAAAAAAGCATAGTTAAACCAACATTAAAACTCTATAAACTTACCAGTTGTAGCACAATTTCCGACAGATAGTAAGTAAACAACTAATATTACTAAAACAGACTTCATTGTTCCTAAAAGGGAAAAATGCTTTAATGCCATCCAATAATATGTAAAGGTATTTATTGAATTATTTTATTTTATCTAATTCCAATTTATATTAAAAAATGGTTGTAACTCAATAAAATTAATACCAAAGATGAAATTTTATAACGGCAAATTAATATGTTTATGGATGAATTTATTACAAACCTTATTTGGATCCTGAATTTAAATATATAAATGTAGAGACGTCATTTTTAAATTAAGTAATAAAATTACTCATAGACAAAGTGTTTAAGTTAGGTTTCTTAAATTTATATTTTATTATTTCTAGCAAAAAGTTATGATCTTGCTTTATTTGATTACTGAACCTAAATATGTTCTATTTATTTTTCTGTCAGTTTTACTAGAGATAATTTGGATAAATTCAGTATTAGACCAATTTATTTCTGATTTATCTAATTTCTTTCAACCTTCTCTGTTCGTTGCTGTATTCATTGATGTCAGGCCTTTGAAATATTTTAGGTCATCTTCCTATCGTATTTCCCATTCTTCCTTGTCTTAGGTTGCTCCAGATGTATGTTAAAATTTAGTTTTTGATTCATCCCTTCTTTATTATAAGTTATTGCCGTTATTGGTCTTCTATATCCCTAAAATTGTAACAAATCGTAAAATATATATTAGGAATATTTACGAAGATGTAGTCCATCTTCTGTATAATAGAGAAGTTCTCCTAAATATAATAAAAACTGTCGAAAACATCTAAAAAAACAACAAAATGGAAGTTAGAATAGATGGACAACTTACAGAACCTATAAAAGTAGGCAGCGGAATGAGACAATGGCATTCATTGCGCCTCATACTTTTCAATTTAATCATGAATTAAATCATCAACAGCGTTAACAAGGTAAGAGGATACAGAATGGGAAATAAAGAAATAAACATACTCTGTTACGCAGATGACGCAATATTGATAGCTCAAGATAAAGATAGTCTACAAAGACTGGTCCACAGATTTAGCATAAGAGCAAAAGAATTTAATATGGCAATCTCATCATAAAAAACTTAACAATAGTAGTCATTAAAGAACCAACCAGATTTAAAATAGAAATTGATGGCATGAGTGTTGAACAAGTAATGGAAATAATATATCTGGGAATTACACTGTCTGTGTAATAGATAAAACTATGCAGACCTGGATGAAGAAGTGAGAAATCAAGTACAAAAAGCAAATAGACTGTCAGAATGCCTTAATAATAATGTGTGTGTGTGAGAGAGAGAGAGAGAGAGGGAAAGAATCTTTTAGCCACAGAAAATTGTTATAAGGATGTTTAAATTTTTATTTTAGAATCGTTTATAAACTTGATTGGAATATTATATATAGATTTGTCAGAATAAGATAACAGATAGCTGATGTTAAATCGTAGGGTAATATTGAGATCAATTAAACCTAAATATAGGCTTTGAGTATGTTCCCTATGATTAGAACAATTGAAAAATAAGTGGTTCAAATCGCCGATAGATTTATCATTACAAGAACAAAAAGGAATTTCATAGATTCCAATCCTATGCAGATGCTCTGGAAAGAGGCCATGGTTAAGTTTTAGCCGCGTTATTAACAAAGAATACCAACCAAACATATACCTATTTATATTCCCTCTAAAAAATTTAAAATGAAGTAACCGCTGTTAGTACTCTCTCTGTCATTGTATGTCATTATTTACTTTATTGTTTAAAATTCTGTGTATCTGAAAAATCAAAACATGGATATTGACGAAGAGTTTAACTTAACACCACCAGAAGTGGCAGAAACTGCAAATGAAATATCTTTAAGTTTACTGCCTGAAAAAAGCAGAGTGTTGAGAAAAAACATACGCTGAATTTATTGCATGGTGTGACGAGAGAAAAATAATACGATATTCAGAATCTGTATTGTTGACATATTTTTCAAACATTGCCGAAAAATGACTAATAGCAAGTTTGTGGCCCAAATATTCGAAGCTAAAATCAACCTTAAGTTTAAAATCAAACATTGATATATCTAAATATAATAACTTAATTATGTTTATTAAGAAAAAAAGAACAGGTTATGTACCAAAGAAAACAAAAAAACAAGTCCAGAAATTCATTTCTGATGCTTCTAAGGACGTGTTTTTAATGATAAAGGTAAACCAGTAAATTAGGTTTTTCTTCAAACGTCAAATAATGATGACATTACTCATCTAACTTGATCCTGTCAAAGTTTGATGTCTCCGCCGGCAGCAGATTTTTTTTCCCATTTCTTTACGGCGGAGGGAAAAATGTTGTCATGGCAACAATATGAAACATGTCACAAAGCAACAATACAAATGTCGTTAACAACAATTAAACATCATTTTTATTTATAGTAATATTAAAAGTACAATTAGTTAATGAGGCATTTTCAAAATTAAAACCGTGCAAAAATGTTCCCGACTCTTGATACGCATTGGTAATTGTTGATGATACTGATGGTCGAGAACAACGTTCAACAATCATTCCCGATGTTGGCGAATCATGAGGGTTTAAAATTTTTTGAGCATTATCGTTCTTATTTCTTATTGAATCCTCTATATATCCTTCGGCAACCGTGCGTGATGTCCAGCCCCCATGTCGTTTGAGGCATTCTAGATTTCCGCCTCCATCAATTAAAAGTGTTGCTGAAGTTTGTCGTAAAGAGTGACCCGTGTATGCGCTTGCATCCTTTAAATTTAAATAACTAGCTACTTTTTGGGCTACTGCGCTGTTCGAATGTATTCCCATGATGCTTCGGTAACACTTTCTATTTTGGTACTTGATAAAAAATCGGTTTTCTGTGAAATTTTCAGGCCGCAGTGATGCATACTTTTTATACAGTTTAATGTAGTTTTGACCAATTATCGTAAAAGATTTAATTTGTTTCGTGTTTTACTGTCTGGGATTTTGATAATTATTACATTTTCTTTATCCTCAATGTCCACAGTCTTCATTTTTACCATTTCGTCGCATCGACAGGCGCCGGTAACCCCAATTAACAAAACAATCTGAAATATTTTTATAATTTAGTAGAGTATACTACATGCTTTGTAATATAATTTTTTTTTACCTTTAATCCTAAATACAACTTATCTGGCGCTTCAAACAAAAATTTATCAAACTCGTCTTTAGTGAAAACTTTAGACTTCTTTGCAGTATATCCTTCGCTTATTTTTTTCAGAAAGGCACGTAACTTTAAAAATTTGCTTACATCCACATTTTTTCTAATAACTAACTCGGATTTTATCATAGAGTATCGTGACCACATTGTAGAAAATTTCAATTTATTTTCATTTTCCATTATATTAAAATATGCCAGTAAAACGTCTTCGGTAACTTGCCGTACTCCTCTTGTATCGCCACTCTTGGAAGTGCTTGTACGCTAACCGATACTTTATTCCGGACTTGGAGGGCCCCAAACGTGCTACTGCATCATTAGCCGCGGACTCAATTTTGTTTAGGTTTTCCATTTTTGCACTAAATTTGCGCTTGCGGTTGCAACAACAATAAGCTGTCTTTAATAATTGCAAACAACTGTCAAACAACTGTAACCAGGGAGACGCAAATCCCACCGACGACTACTAGACGACTTTGATAGTTGTCACAGTTAATTTCGAGTAAAAATACCGTATGAATTGTACTATTTATGGGTGAAAATTGCTACGTTTGAAGAAAAAATAGTATACTTTATTCGGCAAAGAAGCGACTTTTCTTGACTTGCCCTCTATTACGATCCTCACTTCGTTCGGCGCGTAAAGTCATGCTTCTCCGCCTCATAAAGTAATATACTATTATATATTTAATACTAGTATTTCATAACATTTCATTTTGTAGGATGCATTGATGTTCGGAGTGGCTGGCGCGTTAAGAAAGGACGAACTATTGAAATTAGAAACAAATAACGTTCAAGACTTGGGGTCAAAGTTTCTTGTCACAATAAAAGTATCAAAAACATACACAACTAGAATATTTATCATAGTAGATAACGAAGTAAATACCATTATGAATGCGATCAAAAACTATATTTCTTTATGACCGGCGCACACACCACATAAACTATTTTTCATTTTTTTATAAAAATAACAAATATTCCACAGTCAGTTGGCATAAATACGTTTTCCAAAATTCCTTTCGGTATTGGTAAATTCTTAAAATTAGAGCACCTTCATCTCTACACTGGGCATTGTTTTAGACGTTGCTTTGCCTCAATAGTGTGTGACAGTGGTGTGGTCAGTTATTAAAAGACTAGGTGGCTGGAAATCGACTGCTGTAGCAGAAGGTTTTATAGATAATTCTATGCAGAATAAACTTGAGACGGCTGAAAAACTCTTGGGACAAAATACCACTAAACCTTGTCAAAGTACTTCCTTAAGCAACACCGCTCCCTCTTCTATCACAGAATTTACAGAAGTCCAAGAGGACTTAAGTATAAATTTGTCAAAATGCTATACAGCAGATAATAATTTATCCTCGCTCCGCTCACGTGTTAAAATGTCTCAATTTTTAATCACCATTATTAATACACTTGTTGGTTAAATAACTATCTGTAAACCATTTTGTCTATTTATTTCTCTTTTTAAAACAATTACTAACCTCCCTCTTTTTTTACTTCTTATTTAATGTCTATTTTAGTTATTTTCCATTCAGTTCTTATTTTAAACCTACTTAAAATTAATATAATATATTGCAATGACTAGAAACGAATTGATCGAGAGCAGTGAATCTATAAGAAGGACTGCTATTTTGTGACGCTACCCGTGACGCTACTTCTGTGACGCTCGTCTCAACATTTTACTATAGAGAAAAAAAGTAATACAACGTTAGCATAGAAGCTTCGCTTCAAAAATATATATTGTGTAATGCAGCGTACTGATATTGTATTTATTTCCAACCATTTAGGTACCAATCTGAACCTAAAATAAAACAGGGTTTAAAAAAATAAGTTATACGTGCGTTTATGTTGCTTGATATCATTCTATGACTATGAGAGTAATGAGGAAGTAATCATGTAAAGATTTTTTTTTGCGACACT